TTAGAGTTCTATATCTCCAAGGCAGAATAAGATAAGAGCCATGGAGCATTGTTAAGGGAACTCCTGTTTTTATTAAACAATAAAGAAGTGGTTTAGCTTATTGACAACTCAATCTTCCCACAGGCTACATTATCCTGATTGCCAAGGATAGGTTTTGCTGGTGTTTGTTGCTTCCAGTACGTGTGTGTGTCTATTTGTTATATTAAAGCTCTCAATTTTTGTGTTACTGAACACTCCACTCATTCTGAGGGACATGATCCTGGGGTGGGATTACCTTTCAAGTCCAGATGTCAAAAGAGGAAAACCACAAGGAAGAAGAGTTCCCATATTTCCAAATGAAATGAGGCAGAACAAATGAAAAAGCATCCCTTGGCTTGCGCAGAGAACTGAAAGTGTACATTTCTAAGAGGTATAGCCATGTCTGTGCAAACACAGTAACTCATGTCAAATAAATTGTGCTTTTTGAAGGAAAGAACTCTAGCTCTGGGTTTTCCAAGCTAAATTGCATGAAAACACACAATCCTTTTTCTTCTTATTTGAACTGTTAGATGACGGGGCCAAATTATCAGAAAGACCAAAGGCAGTCTGCAGCCTTTAACAACTGAAAGGACTTATCGCTTCCAATTTGGAAATACAAAAGATCCTGTGTCTACCCCAAACACTCCCAGGTCCTATGCATTTCCCATTAGTTCTGTGAAGAAAGAAAACCTGTAAGTAAAAAGAATATCAAAATTCTCTGGAGTTTTAGAAATGAAGATTATGATGGCCAAAGAAATATAGGCAGCTATTTCCAACTTCTTAAAAGGACATAGACAATTCTCTACCTCTGGTCAAATGCGGTCCCACTGCCCTTGACTTCTCGGCGTCATTCACTCCTACTGGACTGTCAGGAATTATTTTACAGACCCAGTCAAAAGCCATTAAGTCTGTAAAGGGAGTCAAGACCTGTGCTCAAGCTGGGCATGGAAGAACCCAAGGGAAGCAATGCATCTATTTTTCAGTACCTGAGACCATTTTGTTTCCAACATTAATTGCGCTTATGTGTTGGTTTGGGGTATAATATCTCCACTCATCTTGCTCCAGTTTCCACTATTTCACTATTAATACAGACCTTAGGAAACATAATTGCAGTGTATTGTAGACAGTAATTTTCATTAACTACACAGAAGAAAACTGTTTAAGGAGAGACATTTCTTGCCTATTGATTCAATCAAAATGACTTGGAAGAAAAGGTTGTGCTTATTAAATTCTTTTCAAAAAGGTAGTTGTTAAAATTTAAATTCTTTCTCAATAGGCTTTTTTAAAAGTGGTATATAATCTCTTCAGATTTTGTCATTTATGAATTTTTGTTCTTCCCAGTTCCTTAGAAATTTGTGACTTTTATTGGTCTTTGTTTTTTTTAAAGAAGTGGAGAGGGGAGGCCCTTACATGGAGGCAGAGAATGTAATCATCACTGTTATCTGCCAGGCATGGAGTTGCCTAGCAATACTAGGAGAATTAAAAGGGGAAGCGACAGCAAAACAGAATGTTGTAAAATTACCAGAGGGTGAAGTGTTAAACTGGCTTGCAATACTTATCAAGAGGTCTTTAAATGAGAACGGATATAGGATTTTCTAGCAGTGGTATAAAAAATAGCTCATCATTCTCAATGCTCTTCCTATCTTTCATTTGGAGCAGTTTACCCAATGGAATTCTGCTATTTTGAGTTCATTACTGGGCAAAATCTAGGACAGAAACATCTGAGGATAAAACACATCGCCCCTCTGAGCCACTGGTATTTGAGTCCTTTCCAGTTGGACTAATTGAGTACAAGGTACATAAACTTTTTGTACGCTACCATTATTTTATGGGCTTTTGCTTATATGATAATGTTGTTCCCTTGTTGCCCTCTCTCAAATTTCAGAGTCTTCCTTGGAAGTTTTCACACCAAGATAAGTGAGATGGCTACTGTTTGTGACAACCTCTCCCAACCTAGGTCTATCCACAATCTCAACCTTGGGAGTACAGGAGCGGAAACTTCCCTGATATCAAGATCCTATTTGTCGTCTTCTTTTGCCTTGATTGTGCCAAATCCTTCTTTCAAAAATGAAACTATAGCTGAAATCCTGGAAATGTGTCTCTATCTTTGGTTGTTGTAAACTTTTGTTTAACAGTGCCATAAATACAAAATAGAGTGAGAGACTGGCTTTTACAGAGGTGGCAGAAATGGTCAGGAATAAGAAATTTCAATGGAATAACTATAGGATTATATACTTGAGAAATTGAAACACTAAATAAGCTTATGATGGAAAATGATAAGCCATGTGCTGAAACCCATCTTCTTATCAGTAGGGGGATTTGTCAATATTTTGAGTGCTAAGGAGAGCATAGGAATCTGTGCGTAAAAGTGCCTTGTAGTATCGAGGAACGACACGCAAAGCGGAAATCAGGAGATCTGGGTTCTAGAAATAGCTATGCCATGAACTATTTGTATCTCTTGGAACATAAGATTTTTAATGTGTAGAATAGGGCTGTTAGGGTATCACCAAGGTCCCTTCCACTTCTCACATTTAGATTCCAGAATTCTAAGCATGTTTTTGGTCTAAAGAACAACATCTCCAAAACAGGTACATTTATATTTTTCTTCCTGATACTAGTTCCAAACTGGAATGAATAGGGAATTGTGATAAGGTTTAGTTGTTTTTCTACCTTTTGAAGTTACGCATTTATATTGCAATCTCAAATTACTTCAGAACTGTGTAATGTTTAGCACTGTTTTTATGTATGTTTTGTTCTTTTTCTATTTCTTTATTGACTTATGGGCAAACACAGCAGCACCTGATGATATTTTTGAAATAATTTTCTGCTTTTGTTTTGGAACACAGCGTACTCTGCTGACTTCTTTGTTGGCTGCCGATGTTCCTCTTCCTGACTCCTAGGAGCTATGTTTCTAGATCCACTTCCTTTTCATAGTACGCACTCTCTCTTGACCACTCCTCCACCCCCACGGTTTCATTCTTATTGATGATTACCAAATTTACTTTGCTATCTCTGAACTCTACCAAGTTCCAGATCTGCATCTCTTCATTATATCCCGTAAGTATTTCAAATTCAGCTTATCCACACAATCATCTCAGAACTTTCTCGTTGCTAACACAATTATTTACATTAATTGCATTACTATTCTGCTTCTGAGAGACATTTATTACTCCACCTTCTTCATTCATTCAATCAGCTATTGAGTCTAGTTTGCTAAAGTGCTCTCAGACAAGATATCAAATTCTTATTTCTGTGGTCTCTGCTCTGGAAGCAGACCTTACCTTCTCTGAAGTGAATTATGCAAGTCTCCTAACCTCCCCATTCTTGTTTCTCCTTACCATTCCAAGTACTGGTGCCAGATTCATTCTCTGAAGCAAAGCTCCAGCCATTGTATTCCCATTTGTCAAGATAACCAATACTCACTACTAGCAAAACATCCATAAAATTAAGTAAAGAATACCTCACTCTGGTATTTGAGGCCTTTCATGCCGTAGATTGAACTAAGTTTTCCAGTTATGAGCTGCTATTCTCCTACACCAATTTTATATTTCGACCAAACCAAACTTCTTGCTGAACACATACTATGCTTTCCTTCAATTGCTAATGTTGACCTTCAGACCACTGACACGCCCCTCTCTCCTATACAATGTAGCATCAATTATGCCTATTTGAATGAACATATTCATTAATGTCCTTTTCAAATGCTATTGCTTCCACACCTTTCCTGATATTCCTAGTTAGAGGAAATCTTTCTCTTTTCTTTTAATTCTCCATAGCACCATCTACTTCTCTTCACACACTGATTGTAACTTCATTTGCACTGCACTTATGGGTGTATCGGTTTTATAACTATCAGTAGGTGTAAAGCCCTAGAGATCAGTGTTTGCATCTTTCCCTTCTTTGAATACTCTGAAGGCCTACCCTGGTGTATTGTGTAGCATTGGTATACAGTTAATAAATTAAGCAAACTTGCAACTTCCTAATTATACTCAGGCTTTTTGACACTCAAAATCTGATATCCAGTGACTGAGTCAGGACTAATAAAATCAATTATCCAGGGTGAGAACAGATTGGGTTCAAGATTAGGCTAAATTTTCAGGTAATCTAAGGAGCTGAAGTTCAAAAGTGTACACTGTTTCTGTTATACACTAAAATTTAAAAAGTTACGCATTTCAAAAGTTTTGAGTCACACGATCTTGCTTTGATATCGAGCACAAGCTCACGGTTTACTTAATCTCTTTGAGCCTCAGTTTCCTTATCTACAAGGAGGTAATTCTAACATTATTTACCCCAGAGGGCTATTGTAAAATGATCTGTCAAGTGTTTAGAAAAGGCCCAGTATACTGTAAGTGCTCAATAAGCATTAGCTCCTATGATCATTATTCTCATCATCACCATTTATTAGCCAAATTAGCCAAACTAATAAAGTAAAGATGGTCTTGAAATTCTTTCACACTGGAGATCCCATTCAAATTTCGGAATCTGTTTTGGGCTCTGTCCTTACACAGTAATTAAAAAAACTTAAAGAATACTCAGAAACCACCAATTGTGAAGTATAAAGTACACAAGAATAATATCTAGAAGGAAAGATTAGAGAAACTGAAATTATGGTGCTTAAAAAGGCATTTGGTAGAAGATTTATTTGTCTTCAAAAATATTTACAATTCAGAAAATGAAAACAGTGGCAGCCTGGTCCTGGTTTGCTTTCCAGTGAGAATATTGACTTCCACACAAAATTAGCTGTTAAAGTTACATAGAAGAGGAAAACAAAAATGTCCCTACACCATACTGGAACAGACTAGCAAGGGAGCCATGGAGTCATTTAGAGATAACGATTGCATCTTATATTCCTGGAATGATGTTAATATGACCTCATTCAAATAAGGCAAAGGTAGGTGGTTTACACAGTTCTTCCCAGCCATATAATAATGTGAGGATTTGAGGAGCTACCATGGATTCTTCTGATTGCTTCACATTCTTACCTGAACTCTCATCCAGACTCTCCTCAGAGACATGCTCATTTTGATGGACCCACTCGCCATTGCATTTGAAGAATATCTGCATGGCTGGCCTTGCTTTGCACCTCAGTGCAATGGGGTTGCTCTTGATGATATAAGCATCATCTGGCTCCTCTATGAAATGAGGCAATGTTCCAGGAGCTGATGGGATGGATTCAGGGAGGGCTTCGCCATTGTCAGTTCCTGCGAAATTGAAGAGGACATTAGAAAACAGCCTACATTGGCAGCACATACATCAAGATGCAAAGCACAACCCACACCAGCTCTAAAAATTTGTACTATAAAACTGTGCATCAGAGTAATACATCATACTTGTAAAGCCTGTGTAGATGAATTATCTTCTAGAGGCAGAGCTAGCACAATATGGTACCTTAGCTGGACTTACCTTCTAGTGTTACTGGACAAGTGAAAATAGTGAATCGGAGACTCTCTCAAACTAGTTTTGAATCTGCATGTCTTTGCTGAAAGAACTGAAATAAATATCTGTGGGGTGAAAAGTTGAATCTTAAGATTCAGTCTGATGAGTGGTTACCTCAAAGTGTTCAATAAGGGCTCCAAGCTTCCTTGAAACTTTGAAAATAGTGATGGGAATAGATTTTGTTCTCCAATAAAGGAGTGTGAAGAACAATGATCTTAGTGAAAGACGCTCAGTCATAAGACATGTCCAAAAGATTCCAAACTGTCTGCTTTCTTCACGTACAAAAGTCTGGAGATTGTGTGGTATTCTGCCTAAGACGGGATTTCCCCCCAAAACTCACCAACTTACTAAAAACAACAAACCTTCTAAAAAGAATGTGCATTTATTTTGCTTGCCTCTGGTCACCATTCTCTACCCCAGCACTCCTCCCCCATATACTACGAATCTCACTTTCCAGACGAACTAAGACAAATCACTAAAATAGTTATGAACTTTTAGTTTAGGACCTATAATTATATTTGCTTAAAGGGAAGAACTGGGTACAAATCTACCCTAAATTTTGAGAGAAATGAGCAGAGAAAAGCAATATAAGAAGGGAAAAGCAGGAGCCAAGACATTCCTTCATTGCTTCTTCACTACATTTAGCAAGGAGTTAAGTCCCAGGAAACTACCATTAAGTTAAGGGAAGAAAGACGTGACTGCTGAGCGGTGTGGAGATGACCAAACAGAATGATATCTTCTGCCTTCCAAAGGCCACTCCAGAGAAAGAACAAGGAAAGCAAGGATTTCAATACCAACATCAACTATGCCCTGGAAAGACACATACATCAAGATGCAAAGCACAATCCACACCAGCTCTAAGAATCTGTGCAAACTGATCTTTAGGACTAAGCTGGGGAAAGGGAACTAGTGAAACCACTGGAAGAATAATCCAGTTCATCACGAGGGAGCCTAGGAGACAAGGCGCATCCTCTGACCTAACATGGCCTTCTGTACGCTCTCTGTAAATCTGAACCAACAGAGCCTCTTACTATCCACATTCAAGTCAACAATCTCAATCAGTAAGCACTGTCAAATGCAAACATAATTCACAATATTAGGAGTAATATTAGGAGTCACAAAAAAGATGTGACTGCCTATAATTGTATTTTTCTGTAAGGAAGAAAATAAAAGACACTGAGTTATAAAAAAAGACTCCTTGCCATTGGGAACACACAAGCATTTTCCATACCACTGCAATGAATTATACATAAACAATGGTTTGATCCTTCAAACTATTTTTTTCCGTTAAATACATCAACCTAAGGGGGAAAATGCCTCCCATAATAAAGAGTTTAAGATACCGTAAGCTTTAAAATGCATTTGTAATAGAAAAGCTAATTCACGTGTAAGTAACTGGAAGAACCAAAAAATCATCATAAAGCAAACACTATAAATAGTAAGAGAGTAAATAATTTTATGTCATAAAAGTACAATAAAGTCACTCAGAAAATAAAGTGTGTATATATCACATGGAATACGAAAGGTTTCAGGATAGAATCTGAGAGGTTTTTTTAGTGTTTTAAATTATATTTACAAGGGACTTCATAAAATATATCACATATTAATTCATTTTGTTACTGACTGCCCATGCCAATTTCCATCTTCAATAAATACCAAGTCCCCTCAGGCTTTTGTAAACCCATGCATTAGAGGAAATGACAAAGGTGTTAAAAGATTTTATATGGGCATCAAACAGCTCACACTCCCAACAGGGGCTTGATTTCTGTCCAAAGTAATTCATTGTTACACAAAAGGGTCACCTGATAAAGAATATATCCCAAACCCTATGGTGGTAGCCTGAGTGAACAGCCACAGGCATACATTTTGAGTGATGCATTTTTGCTTAACTGGTAACAATGCATGACTGTGTGAAGGAAATCCTGAAATGGGGAAGGAGGGGTGGGCATCATAAATAACAATCTGTAAGTAAATAGTGAGGCCACATTCATCCAGCATAAATAAAACAACAAACGAAGGCACTAGATCGAAAGATAAATCAAGTTTTAACCATCCAATTCACAAAACACAGAGAGATCTGAAAGCAATTAGGTTATCCTCCTGCTATTTTAATAAATGCCCTTTAGATAAAGTAACAAGTTCAGCTTCCATGTGAAACACAGAGCAGGAGAGTGTAATGGAAAAGGCTGCGGATAAGTGACCTGGCTATCTCAACGACCTCCATTAAGAAATCAATCAATTTTAATGTTCAGAGGATTAAAAAAAAAAGGCAGAACGCAACATTATATCCTAACTAATACTGAAGCCACATCAAAGTCCTGTGTGTATAGGAAAAAGGCCAAGATCCATGAAAACAAAAATCAAATTAAAAAATCAATTTATTAGGGTGGCTAGGGGAAGGTGAGAGATCATAGGTATATATTTGTATATGTATTACCATTTATTTGCATCCTTCCAAGACTAAATTCACTTATTTAATTAAAGAAATTTCTTTAATTAAGTGAAAGCAAAAGAATGATACATTTTCTTTTCTTTTTTCTTTTTGCTTCGTATAGTGAAATATTGGGAGTGGCATTTACCTAACATGATCTCAATCCCCTGTCCCTCCCTCGAGTTCCTCTCTGGGCTCAGGCTGGAATTCCTGGTGCAGCAATGCCCTAGCCTTCAGATGCCTTCTTTGTGGCAAGAAGGCTAGATTTCCCCAGCAGGCTGCCCTTGAGGAAGACACTCCTTCCTTACTCCACAAGGCTGGGGTCATCTTCCTCCCTCTCACCTCATGGATGCCTATCATACTCAACCTTGCCTAGAGGCTCAGAACTGAATTGTTGAGGAAATTCTCAGGTGATACATCAAGAAAAAGACAAGGGAAGGGAAGAAAGAAAGGAGCTGAAGTGGGAACTTCTAAGGGGCTAAGAAGTTGTTGGCAGATCCTGTTGTTTGGAGAGGGGTGGGGACGGTCTTTGGTCACTTACTTTAATAAATGCTTTTATGGAAGGCTGTATGAATACTTCTGGGCTTTGAGGGAAATTTGCCTGTAATCTCAATATATTTGCCACCACGTTAACATTCAGAGAAAAGTTCTAAATCTGATGTGACAAATGCTGGCAACTGTCTGACCCAGTCAACTGCCTTCTCCCAAACCACTTTTACAGGAAAGCCTGGAAAGGTCAGGGACTCAGTTTACTTCTTTACAGGTAGGAATAGTCATGTTACATTGATCTAGCAAATGAGTCACAAACAGAAGTTTAAGAAAGCTTTTATTTTCCTGATAAAAGGAATAGATGTGGTTAGTACTGTCCTTTCTCTCATTTTTTCCTGCCTTAACTGGGGAAAATCATGAGAAAAAGTCAAAGAAGGGAACAGAGGTACCAGCTCTGACAACACTGAGATAGGCTAGACTAACACCAGGAGGTATCTGCCTCTAGAGAATTTGGTGGTTGTTTTTTTTTAAATCTTTGATTATTTAACCTACTGATAGTCAGATTTTCTGTTGTTTTCGCAGGAAACACTCCTCATTGATACAACTAGATCTTCCTTCTTACACAAAGCCAGAGCTCCAAGCTTCACTTAATCAAATCCCAATGCTTTGAGGGTTAAAGAAAGAATTTTGGCAGGCTTAAAAATGTGGAAACTGTATAAGCAGAAAGTGAAAGTAAGAACTATCATTTACTGAATGATTACAGGTTATGGTAATAAACCTTCTACATGGATTAGGTCATTTAAGCTTTACAGCAATGCTCTGAGGTGGGTATTGTAAGTATCCCATTTTGCATTTGAGGAAATGATTTGGTTATGTGTCTTGTCTAAGGTCACATGGCTGCTTAATGGGGACTCAGAATTTGAACATAGGTCTTTGACCCCAACCACCACACAATTCCATTTCAGGTCAGATGAACGGACCCTTAGAAATCTGATAGTGTAATTTAGTGAGTGTCTGCCTCATAGCAATAGCATACAGTTCATAAAACCAAAAGAAGATGATATAAAATGATACATTATCTGTGTGGCACCTCACCACTGACAGTAAGGATGATACTCATCTTAAAGATGATTCAGTTACCCGTCTGCTGGATTTTGAGTCCAGGTCAGGATGGGTGTGTTATGGACATATCCCAGAAAGGTCTTGAGAAAATAAATATTTTTGAGAGAACAGCACAGCAAGCACAGTAGTGCCCCTTCAGCTGCATTTTCACTTTCCGCGGATTCAGTTAACCTAGGTCAACTGTGGTCTGAAAATATTAAATGGAAAATTCCAGAAATAAACAGTTCATAAGATTTAAACTGTGCACCATTCTGAGCAGCATGATGAAATCTCTCGCCATCCTGATGAGTCCCTCCTGGGATGTGAACCCTCCCTTTGTCCATAGTATCCGCACTGTATATGCGCTACCCACACGTTCGTCACTTAGCAGTCCTCTTGGTTATCACATGACTGTGACGCCATTACAGTGTTTGGTTCAAGTAACCCTATTTTACTTAATAACGGCCTGAAACTCAAGAGTAGTGATGCTGGCCATTTGGACATGCCAAAGAGAAGCCTTAAAGTGCTCCCTTTAAGTGAAAGATAAAAGTTCCCAACTTAATAAGGAAAGAAAAAAAAATACGCTGAGGTTGCTAAGATCTATGGCAACTTTTATTACAGTATACTGTTATAATGAAATTTTATTAATATTGTTAATCTCTTGCTGTGCCATTAAACTTTATCATAGGTATGTATGTATAAAAAAAAAGCCATAGTATATATAGGGTATTGTGCTCTCCTAGG